ATGTTCGACTCTATTATACCACATTGGAAACTTCTAAACTAGTCAATTTTTTTTTGTTTGAAAGAGCAAATTTTGAGCTACAAATTCTATATAAGAGATATTTTTTCGAGCAAATTTGTTAAGGAAAAAAATCATAAAACTAAGAGTCACTCAAAAATATCTTGCAACTTCGGCATTTTAGACCGGTGTCTTAATGCATTTTGTTAGATTTTTCAGCGAGAACGAAATTTGTCATTCCGTTTAACTATAGTGATTTTTGTAGCACAGAAAAAGCTCTTGTTGATGGCATCTTGAGAATTAAGTTTCTATGCAGTTATCATACTAAAATATAGCTTTTTCTGATAGTTACGATATTAGTTGTACAGTTGCACCACTAACCTACAGTTAAGAGAGCAAAAAGAAGAATTTTAATCAGTTTTTCTTGTTAGTATCCTTAAATTGACGTACTTAAAAAAACAAAGCACAAAAAGTTCAGTTTATGCTTATGTTTCGAATGTTAACTACTCGTATTTTTGAAATCCAATAATTTTTTTCAAAATACTCAGTTTGTTTTACAGAAGTTGCAGTTTGTAAACAGTTTTGTTTCAATGACAGTGAATGAGCCTATGAAAGTTTACCGAAACTAATATCGAACGAGCATTTAATGCGCTACATTTTGCTATATTTTCGTTTTTCACAATACAATTTGTATGGCATAAAATAATTCGAAAATATAAATTTTTCAAACTGCGAAATAGTTGCAAGGTATTTTTTTAGTGACTCTCGGTTTTATGATTTTTTCCTTCACAAATTTGCTCGAAAAAAATATCTCTTATATAAAATTTGTAGCTCAGAATTTGCTCTTTCAAACAAACAAAAATTGACTAGTTCAGAAGTTTCCAATGTGGTATAATAGAGTCGAACATTTTGTCCAAAGACTTTTGCATCGCATATTAAATATCTTTACGACAAAAGTTCATGACCGGCAAATGGTAAATTATATGAAACTTAGTCCAGTATATCTTCCACTGAACGTTGTTACTCATATTTTATTTGATTACGTTACAAATATACTTTCATCAATATCATTATCAAATTTGAATTCAAATAGATAAAAAAATCAAATAATGTTCTCCAAATGAAGGAATTAATTGGATGCTGATTGATTTGGTACCACTAATATTTGTCTTCTTCTACAATAAATTTGAAATATAATACGAACAATAAATGGAATTACAACACTTAATATAATATTTAAACCTCCATAATAATCAAATATAGTATTTATTACTTTCAATGTATTGAAGTTTTGTATAAATGAATAAGTACAATGTGTCGGATTACATGCTTGAAAATAATTTTCATATGAGTCATTAACATGCCACTCATCAACAAACAATCGATCAACCATTTGTTGAATTGTTTCGTGTCTTGGATAGCTACTTTTCAATCCTTTAACAACAGACGCTAATTCTAGTTTTCCTGTAAGACTCGACAGAAACAAATTGTAGCAAGTCTCATCATAAAAACATTCTAATGATGACTGTAACATGGCTTCTACTGGATAACAACCAATAAATAAACCTTTGATAGTTATATTGTTAATTACTAATGGTTCGGAGCAACGTAGTGAAGTTGCACATGTGCATGATCGATTATTGTATGACATTGCTTTCGTATAATATATTCCGTTGTCACTCGTGATACTGGTAATCATAAATTTCCAGTTAGTTCGAAGAGCTGATATGAACGCATTTCCATGAAGAATTTCACGAGTCATATCAAATGTTTCTTTAAGCTTTTGTGCCATTGACTTTTTAAATAAACGAACACTTGTATTAACTTTCTTTTGAAATAAATCCATCGAAATCAACTCGTTGCTAAACCATCTTGTTGAATGAAATTGATGTAGATTATGATTGAGCACGTCTCCAGTAAAGCCACATACGATCATAAGGAAACTAAATTGAACAGGTACTTTTGCATAGAAACTATGATGATATTTATTCGCAGCTTGATATAACCGCCAAATCCATTCCCGACTTACGAAGTCTGATGAACAAACTTCACTATAAGTGTATATAAGACTAATAAAATTTTCATACTTTATTGATATTTTATTGCATGGACAAATTAAATCGTGAGGATACTTTGTATATAACTCTTCATATTGTGTTAACTCTGTTAGTTGAATTGTATTAGTGATAGTTTTTCTGTTTAATGATGTATAAAGAACTAGAATAACTAAAATGGTAATGAAAGTGATTAGATACACGCGTGTACTAATGATTTGTTGTCGTATTATGTGAAGATTATTTGATTGATTTCGAAAGAAATTTAGTTGTAATAATTTTGTTAAAAATAACTGTAAAGTGATGCGTATTTTATGAAATATATCTAAAGAACAGAACGAAAATAAGTTTTTTTTCATCACCGTCAGACAAAAAAATCATACTTCCTTGTCGTTGTCCTGGCTTTCTTCGAATGATATAAACAATATTCGGGATTAAAAATTTAAGAATGATTGTTAATGCTCCACACGTATTGATTAATTTAATTAATATATAAACAAATTTTGGTCGTTCTTGGATTTTATATGAACAAAAGGATGGCTTACAAGAATTATAATATTTGTCATACGAATAAGATTCACTCCAATTTTCAATAAAAAGATTTGCAGCAAGTTCATCAAAAGTAGCATTTGTTACATATCGACTTGTTTTCGATCTATTCAATGGCTGTAACTGTTTATACAGTTCTGTATCTGTTTTCATGCGGGATTTGATTAGATTTAAACAGTCTTGGTCAAAAAAACATTCTGTTGTTGAGGATAATAAAGTAGCAGCTATGTTACAAGCTAGAAATATACCTGGAATACATTCTTCTTTGTTATTATCACAAAATGACGCCTGTTTCACACAATTCCATTCAATTGCACACGAGCAAAAGTCACTTTCCACGAGGTTAAACCCGATTTCAATAGTGTCATTGTACCAAGTTGGTTGTATATAAGAACCTGTTTGTAGTTGCGAATATATTTGATTATTAAAAAAAGTATCGTATATACGGATGTGTTGCTCGTAAGATGAGTATTTCATTCTATCTTTCAATATTCCTATCAATGAACTTATTTCATGATTAAATTGGTTTTGGACAACAGCAAAAGTCGTTATATATTGCCGATCATAAAATTGTGTTAATTCATTTTGAAAGTTTGCCTTTGCTAATTTACAAAACTTTGATAAGAGAGAGAAAAAAGCAGAACCAATTCTGTCAAAGGCTTTAGGATCACACAATTCCCCATGTATCCAGATATTGTACTCTGATTTCCAGAAAGATGAAACAAATACACTTGAACATATTTCATGATGAATTGGAGATAAATAAACGAATTCCGAATATTTTACTGAAATATTAGTACATGGACATTGAAGATTCTCGACTGATTTATTTTGTAATTCTTCAAATTGTATTCGAGTTGGATGAGGAATAAATTTCATTGTTGCTTCTTTTTTAATATATAAATTAAAAGTAAAAGCCACTAAACAAATTATCAATACGAGAAAATAAACTTTTGTTGATATAATTTCGTTCTTTTGTCTATGTTCATCTGATGAATAACTATTGAATATATTCATTGTCATGAGAAGATTTTTAATTAATTGTAAGAATATGCACAGACGAATTCTCATTGAAACTAGAAAAAAAAACGAAGTTTATTTTTCATCCTGTTGTGAAAGTATGACTTACTCGGAGGAGTGTCTGTTGGTTGTTGTTGTTTTTTCTTTCGAATGAATGTGACAATATTTATGATAATCAATGGAAGAAGAATTTTCAATCCACCAAATAAACTAATCGTTGTTGTGAAAATATAAACATAAGCATTTCTTGACTTATCTCGATATTCACAGAATAATGGTTGACAATAATTATAATATTTTTCATATGAATTATCATTAATCCATTCTTCAACAAATGATCTATTGGCTAAAACTTTAATAGTTTGATATTTTGTTGATGGATGTTGAGTTAATATTGAGAAACGATGAATTGGAGTTGACGAAGAATGGATATATAAAGAAATGATATTCAAACATTTTTGGTCAAATAAACATTCCAGTGTCGAATACATTAACGACTCGATTGGTAGAGAACTTACAAACATACCAGGTATTTGTTCAGTAGGACCGACGTCTTCACTACTTGAAATACATTCCGAATAATCATACTTATTTATATCCAAATAAATTTTTTCTGGTTTTCGATAAAGGGCATCATTGTCAGAGACGTCATCATCAACTCTGTCGTCTGTATTATCTTTGTAACAAATTTGAAAGAAAAAGAGGTCATATGTATTTAAGTCCAGTTTAAAGAAGGAACGTCTGTCTATTGCAGAGTATAATCGATTTTCTGATATTTCTTCTCGGATAAGTCTCAATAAATTTTGAAATGACAAAAATGTTGTTTGCTGAAATGCTTTAAGAGTCGAATTCAGTTGAACGTTGAATGTATTCATTGAAATAGGTTTAATTGTAATGAAATCATTTGAATAAAATTGTTCAAGACTATTATTAATCATTTCTATGGCTTGTTGACATAATGTTCGAAGAAGTTGAAATTTAAATGGGGCATTTCGACGAAAATCAAGTGGATGATAATAACTTAAACTTTCAAAATACAAATAATCAATCCATTGTTGACTAACAAAATCAGATGAACAAATTTCATTATATTTTACTTTTACACTTATAAATTCTTTGTACGGAATTGAGAATTGTTTACATGGACATTTTAAATCTATTGAATATTTCAATTGTAATTGTTCAAATTGTTTTTGTGTTGGACTTGAAATTGTGATAATAGTTGTCTGAGTTGCTAAAGATGAATACTCAATAAATAGAGACAGAATAATGATAAGAACAATGATGTAAATTCGTGTTGATAAAATTTCATTTCTTTTCACGTGTTCATCGTCTGTTTCTGTATCGAAAAAATTAAGTTTGAAAATATAATCATAAACATTACGCATCCAAGTCGCCATAATAAGGAATGTAAAATGCATTCTGTTACTTTGAATTTATATAATGCTTTCAGGGAAATGAAACGCCTCTGTTGTTGTATTTGAACAGTATGATAAAGTCTAGTTTATGACGTAAATCCTGTTGAAAACAAAAAATATCAGACAAATGAGTATCAGTTGCTGACGCAAAAATAAAAGGCAATATTTGAATGTGCGTCAGAGAACTTTCAAAGGTATATATTAAATATGAAAAACTGATTCTATTTTAGAGAAACATTTTATTCATAAATAACGCTCGTCGAGGCAGACTCGCTTAACCCTCGACTGAATGCCTATATTTAATTCTGTTTTCTGTTGATGCCATCACTGATATTAACTTAAACAGTAATTTAATATACTTGTTATAGATCTTTTTTTCTAACTTGTTATCCTATAAGTCATTTTGTAACAAATTCAAATAATATATTAATTCAAGATGCAAGTGAGAACATTTATTTTTAAAATTTTTATAATCAACTACACAACAGAAAGTTGCTCCATATATGACCAAAGTAAATAAAAACGAACATAAACAGAAGCTGATATCTATGACATATCGTGTATAATATAATCAACAAAGAAGAAGATCTACTTTGAAGAATATTAAATTATAAAAAAAACTGCAAGATTATGTAAACTATAAATGGACCTGTGAAAAAGCTAATTATTTACAGTCAAATTACGCAATAATAATGAGTATTATTTTTGTAACTTGAAACATTTATTGAAACCATTCTGAGAAACGCAATCGTGTCTTCACGTATATTTGATCAAGTCGTTCTATTTCAGCAACTTGAGATTTATTTGGTTTCATAAGTAATACTTTTTGATCGAATGGCCGCAGAATAACTAGATCAACCAAACGTTTTACACGAGAGAGTGGAACATATACTGCTGCAATATCATCAGTATCATTTGGCAATTTCAAATCAACAACCACTTTGTTCAACGTTTGCCCTTGGCTTTTATGTGTTGTAATACAATAAGCAGGCACAAGTGGTAGCGCAGCTCGCTTGATTGATAACATTGTCTTTTGATTTGATTTTGGTTTCTTATCTTTTGGAAGAATATCGGCAACGTCAACCCGAAATGTTTGTTCTACCAACGGAATTGGTATAAGTTTTGGTTGAAGATCTTGAAGTTTGCTTTCAATCTTCGATTTAACAATCTCGATCAAAGCATATATTGGTCGACGTATATATTTTGTATTATTTGGAAACATTTCTGATAAATTTCCTGTTGATACAGATTCTTCATGATATACTAATTGCCGAAAGATTCCATTAATACCATTGATGAGACCTAATTCAGTAGCAATATTTTGTGTTAAAATGACAGGCATGCCTGGTACAAAAGGTAATAGACCAGGTAAATGTTCTGTCTTGCTGTCAGACAATTCTAATAATTTTGTAAGCAATATTGGATCTTCGATTGCTTTGCCTTTACAAGTATCTTGAGCAACACATACCATTGGTGGACGATCCATCTGTATTGCATTGTGAATTGCAGCCTTATTATTTATTTGAGTGCGAACTTCATTTCGAAACACGAGAATAGGCGCCTAAAAAAATTAAAATAGATCTTCATTTATATGAAAAAGTTAGTTTACTTTGTTCCATGGTGAATCATGTAAAGATTCGATTGATGGTTGTCCAACAACTCGTGTTTGCAATAATTCATAGTCGTCATAATTACATTGTCCACAACGAAGTCGATCGAGTAATTGAAGATATCGTACATCTTCTGTTCGCATCTGTTGTGTAAGTTTTACAACACAATTCATTTGAAGAACTAAAGAACGTGCAACACGTTGTTGGATTTCTTTTTCCGATAATGCTTTTTCTTGTTTCTTTTTTGATGGTAATGAAAAATCGGTGTGTAATGGTGAATCATACACTGGTCGATATTGTAAATAATCACCAAAGAAGATTACGTTCACACCACCAAATGGAACTTGAGGATCAACATGTTTTGCAGCGCATATAATTCTATTGAGTTTTCCTAATAAAGTTAAGCCAACCATACTCATTTCATCGATTAAAAGGTATTCGACAGGTCTCCATTCTTTATCAAGTTTGGAATCACCTGGTTTGATGGTACGTGGCTTTCCTGAATGGCGTTGTTCACCTAAAAATGAATGAATTGTCATGCCATCGATTTCAGCAGCTGCAATTCCAGTAGGTGCCACTTTCCGCATCATGTGTATTCTTTTTGTGACAAGAAAATATTTTGTAACAGCACGAATCAATTGTGATTTGCCTGTTCCACCACAGCCAGGTATACACATAATGAGTTGACCACTATTATCACCTAAAATATATTATTTGACGTAATAAATGATTATTTTTCGTTTGAAAATATATACCTGTGCGACATCGACTATCACCATCAAGATGATTTGTTATGATTAAGAATGCAGCTCTTTGTTCTTTGTTCAATGTAAATTCTCGAATAATATTATTTTGAGTTGAGAGATTGTTTTCAACTACAAGTACTGTAGGAATTGATGGATATTTTTCAATTTTGTTTTGATTATTATATGGATTCATGACTGTTACAACAGCATCTGTTACAGCATTAAAATCCAAAATATTACCATCTTCGTTATGTTTGCCCGAAATTAAACTGCGTCTAATTCGATCCTTTTCAATCTTCAACTGATCTTACCATTTTGAATTAAGTTTGATTAGATTAGGCGTTGCGGAAATAAACGGTATAATCTGTCGATCAATGGATGTATCTGAAACACGTTGATCATGTTCTAAAACAAGTCATATATTTTTTTCTGAATGATATAGACTATAAAATAATTCACACTTACGATTCATGTGATTAAACCGTCCACCTTTTTCCACTGCTTCGACAGTTTCTCGAATATAAACATTTTCTGTTGATTTTTTCGTGGCATTGGTTGTAGCAGCTGTGAATTCATTTACACTGCCTATTAATTGAATTAGACCATCGATATCATCTACTTCGTATTCACCATCAGCGCCTTGATTTGATGGTAATAATACAGGATCAATCGAATCATTATCAACTTGTGCTTCAGCAATAACTTGAAGTAGATGTTCATCACGATCTTTTTTACATTCATGTAAAAGTTGAATATTTTCTACAATCTTCCAAGAATGAGTAGAAATAAGACTTTTTCGAGATTCGAATGCATCTTCCCATGTTTGATTGACGTCGCAAAGATCAATTACATTGCGCCATGGTACAAAAAGTGTAAGAAGTGCACGATTATACCGTTCGCGAGTATCATCACGATCTTGTCGAGGAATCTGAGGACCATAAAGAACAGGTACATGTACCTCACTGTATTTCATGAGTAGATGTGTTACTGCTTGAGGATGGTCTTTTTGAAAAGAAAATCGTTCATTAGCTGGTCGACCTCTTTGATTATCTTGTCGCTCTTCTGCTGTAGACGATTTTGATAAATATCTTAAATCTGTTTCATTAATTTTTTTCTTATAAAATGTGCTGACGAAATCATATAAACATATGTTATTGAGGTTGTCGGAACGACATTGATAATCAATGCGTGTATTAACAAGAATGAAATTGCTTTTATCTTCCGTCGGTTGAACTTGAAACTGTTCTTCATTGTTATTTTCCTCATTAATTGTTTCATCATCAAACACATCTTCATCATCAATTGCATCTATGTGTGAAAAAAACATAATACATTTTTTAATCATCCTAGATGGGTTTAATTTAGCTCGCTTCACGACACTTATCCGTAGAAATAAGACTGAAATCACATTAACACCTTCTAGTCAAACATGATCTCTTGATGACACAATGTTCTATCGATATTTATACTTTTTTCAATCATCCATATCGCT